AAGTTGGCTAATCCGAGGAAGGCTTGAACGTGTTTGACCTTGGTCAGAGTAGGCCATTCCTTGACGCCTTGCACCTTAGACTCGTCCATGGAGATTGAATCCTTTGACACGACTAGTCCGAGGAAGTGGACCGAGGGCTGCTCAAACTTGCACTTTTCCGGTTTAACAAAGAGGTTGTTGTCGCGCAGCTTCTTCAGGACCCGTTCTACCAGTTGGCGATGTAGAGTGAGGTCATCTGTGAAGATGAGGATGTCATCGATGTAGACCACGACATGTCCGGTCGCAATTTCTTCCTTTAGGACCTCATTCATCATTGCTTGGAACGAGCTGGGTGCATTGCATAGGCCGAAGGTCATGACTGTTGGTTCATACAGTCCCTTGTGAGTGATAAACGCGGCTTTCTCTTCATCTCCTTCGCGAATGCGAACATTGTTGTACCCCCACCTTAGGTCGAGTGAGGTGAAGATCGATGCATGCGAAAGCCTATCCACAAGGTCTGAGATCCGGGGGATCAGGAACTTGTCCTTCTTCGTGACCGCGTTTAGTGCGCGATAGTCCTGGATCAAACGTAAACTTCCATCTTTCTTACGGACAAAGAAGACTGGCGCAGCGGTAGGACTCTTGGACGTGCGGATGTAGCCTTTGTCTTCTTGCTCTGTGATCCAAGGTTCAAGCGAGTTCCGTTCATCAAGGTTGAGCGGGTACAATTTGGCCGGCTTGGGGAGTGAGGCTCCAGGGACTAGTTCGATTGCATGATTGTATGGCTTCCGTGTTGGCATTCTTTCCGAGGCTTTCTTGGAAAAGACGTCGCCATACTGCCGGTACTGCTCAGGTACATGGTTTGATCAGTATTCGTGATCCTGTTCGCCTTTCGTTGCAGGGTTGGTATCCTTTTTCTCTTCTAATCTGGCTCACATCTGACGTGCACTCGGGTCATCTGAGAAGTTCACCCAATGAATAAACTGATCGGTGCTTCCCCAGGATTCAGGGCCGAGGTCGCCGTACTGATCTTGCGCAACATCTTCCACTCGGAGAAGTTGCAAACTCCGTAATTCTTCGTCCTGCACTGTGTGCCGGGTGCATGTTGAGGGGCAGCGTGTAAACTCAATGTTCCCTGCATTCCAATCGAGTTCAGGGTTATGTTCACGCAGAAACGCCATGCCAATGATGATGTCTTGCTGCCCAATGTCTGTGACAAGGAACGACTGCCAAGCGAGGTGGTCTCCGATACGGAGTAAGCAACGGACGTAGTGTGTGATCAACCCCTTCTTATTCTCGGTGGCGTCTGCATTGAAAACTCGCACTTCACGAGAGAGGCGTCGTAGGGTGAGTCCGTGTTCTTGAACAAACTGGTGGTGGATAAAGCAAGAGTAGGCTCCTGAATCGAGGAAGGCTTCTGACTGAACTTCATGCGTACCTTGAGTGAGGGAAACTTTGAGATCGAATGAATTTCGCGGGCGACGTGCTGATGCGAGATAAATAACATTCGAACGCGGAACAAAAGAGTCCTCTAGGTCTACGCTATGATTACAGAGTCGGATACTTTAGTCAGTCTTCAAAGTACCCATTTCAGAAAATCCTCCTCAGATTCCTTGACCTCGACGATGCGTGCGGCGGTCTCAGTTTCAGGTGCCTTGCCTTTGCCTTTTCCCTTGGCAGTTTCAAACTCCTCGAGGGCCCTGCGAATGTACTCCTATTTGTCTTCATCGGCCGTGTCCATCGTGCGTACCTTGGTCGGAGCGGCCAATTGCTTCTTCATGTCCGGGAGCTCGTAGTAGCCCGCGTACTGAGGGTTGCGACACTTCTGGCCCGTCGTAAACTTGTGCTTGCCGCAGCGGAAACAGAGCTTCTTGTCGAGCCATTCGAGCTGTTCGTTAGACAATTTCTCCGGCTTTCGCATTGCGTCGGCGTCCATGGCATTAGGATCCCGTGGGGGGCGACTAGCCGTGTGCTGCTGCGAAGACGGCTTGGCCTGGTTTCCATGAGTCTCCATTTCCAGCTTGAGCACCCAGTCCAGGTAGTGCTCCCATTTCGTCGGAATCAGCATCGGGTTCACTTGCCGCATTGCCGTCATAACCGTAAGAATCTGTGAGTTCTTGCCGACCTGGTTGTCAATGCGTCGGATGAGTTCTACATCAGCGTAACCAGACTTCGATGTGTAGCGGCGGAAGTTCTCGGCAAACTGAATGACCGTGGAGTGAGGTTTTGAGCACCACTCCTCTAGGGATGTTTGCGCGGTCTTCTCAGGAGCCAGTTGACGGTAGCCTGCCTTGAGTCGGTTGACAAAGTCGGTCCAGGATCCAAGGGTTCCGCCGTTCAATGCTGTCTCGACGTAGTCCTAGACGTAGTCATGCGCACCGCCTTCCAAGTACATGTGGGCCAGGGTAATCTTGTCATCGTCCGTGGTGATGTTCTGGACATGGAACCAAAGGCCCATCTTCTGTAACCACTGTTCGAGAGTGATGTCCGAGCCTTTGTTGCCCTTGTACTTGGGTGGTTCTGATGCCTTGATACGTGAGGCCTGTGATACGACAGGAGCCGGGGCGGTGCTGATACCAAGCGTGGTGCGGGTTGACAGTCCTTGCTCCAACTGTGTAAACTTGGCCACGAGTTCCTTGTACCGTTTGACAAGCTCCGTGTTGTTCTGGTTGAGAACCTCCAGATCCGCGTTGACAGTGACCAGTTCCGCCTTCAGCTGTTTGTTCTCTTCAACAGCTTTGAGAGCGAGGTTCCCAGCAGTGTCAGCCTTGGTGTGAAGGCCTGTGGCTGAGCCGGTGGGAGCATTCGCAAGCGCGAGCTGCAGACGACTTTAGCGACGATAAGTTTGGAGGAGCAGGATGATGACATGCCAAAGCGAGGTGGCCCCCAACGACAGGCCGCGCGTGGCCGGAGTTCGCTACCTGGGTGCCGTCGATCGTGTCATACAAGTCGCCCAGAGGCTGGTTGTTCTTTGCATCTGAGGCGTAGTTCAGTACGGCTCTGACGAACTGGTCTCGGACGGTTGTCGAGGTGACGGTACCCGCCGTCCAAATTTGCCAGTCTGTGAACATGATCATGAGTGCGATTCTAAGGGAGCACCACCATAGAGGTCTTACCGGACTTGGAGTACGTGTGGCGGGTGTCGAGCAGTACGCCAAATGCGTCTGTGTCATAAGGGCGTTAGCGAGGTCAGCAGAGAAATTTGCCATGGAGCTCACTGTCTTTCTCAGCATACCACGCGGTCTCTATTAGAAACAGAGACTCAGTTTGCGCTCATGATCACGAAACGGACTCAATACACACGCATGTCATACACAGATGACGGGAAGATGTTCGTCCCCAGTAGCTTGTCGGCGTAGAGGTTGTATGCAATACCCCAGCTTCCGTCGTCATCAGCTTGTATATTCTACGAAACCAAGGAATTGAGAGAAACCTGTTGCTATCGCTATACTTCACCAGGGGCATCAGTCGATTCTGTTCAACACCTATGGATACGGCGATGTACCGAGAGCGTCAAATGGGAACCATCGGAAGACGTAGCCAACTTCTGCCACTGTTGTACATACGAGGCTGCAATCGACTGCAATATAGAGGTGAACCTACATGGCGAACTCTCATATGCAAAGAAATGTATGCTGTAGTTCGAGGCTCGCGCCTCGTCGTCGTTGAGTTTCGCGATCTCAGCCATCGCTTGGATTCCGATGATGCCCTTGATCGCGAGGTTCGTCTGGTTCGCCAAGGCGCCTGCGAAGTCATCTGTGCTGAGCTGATTGGCAGGAATCAAAGAGTCCGTGATGAGGAACTGAGTCCATTGGTCAAGTAGGCTGAACTGCATGGTGGAACAATGAAGATGAAACCCATCCAAGTGGGGTGACTGTGGTAGGAGTACTGACGTAAGTCTTGATTAATGATAGATCGCCTGTCCGCTGGGTGCAGCTGAGCGTCATGATGAGCATGTTGCCGCTCTCTTTGAACAAGCCAGAAGTTGATGAGATGCGGCGTAAGCACTGAAGGAGTAAAAATACCTTCGACCGGCATAGCCTCGTCTTTGCCTATAGTTATACGTTCAGGCAAGCCACAGCGAGCCATCTACGAGGCTACTTACCATCGTTGTGGCCGGTGGCATTGGGATAATGCACGCCTGCGTCAAAGTAGTGAGCATTCATACTAGGAGTGAGTGGAATAACGGAACAGACCCATGTCGTGTACACTGTACTCGTGGTTGCGGAAAGTATTCGAACGCCCGTGTTTAGGCGCCCATTGACCGCTCCTCCTCCTGGTCCTGTAAGTAGTATAAGTAGACATATCTCTACCGTAATTGAGGTATATATTGCTGTTATTGTCAGGAACGTGTGCGCACCATGTGATAGGAATATGATCTCTATCTTGAGCCAAACTAGGCTCAACAAATCTCAGCGTGCTCAGTGAGCATGAGCAGAACATTTGCTATTCTTAGGTGCTGGGAATTGATCAGCATACCTCCATATTCTTGCACATATATCTAGCCATAGAGGAGGGTTTATATCATTAGTAGTTGCTAGCTTTTGACCATCTCTTTCTTGAGAAAATGGTCCTACAATACTAGACCAGCTCTTT